AAAGCTGAAACAAATCCAGCATTAAGACGTTTTTAACTTCAAACCATAGTCCATAATCCATAATAACACTTAGTCAAGTGAAAAGTCCATCTCCTGTTGTCTCTCACATCAAAATCCAGCTACATATTTGTTTAGAGCTGTTTAAACGCTGCTTGATCTGTGCAGATTTCTCTCCTGATTCAGACCAGACCACTGTTTCACTGGAGGAAGCGTTATTATGGATTATAGACTCGTATTTTAGTTAAAAACGTCTTGATGGATTTGTTTCAGCTTTTGTCTTCTCCAGATGTTAACTGATGGACTGGAGTGCTGTGGATTACTTTTGATGTTTTTATCAGCTGTTTGGACTCTCATTCTGACGGCACCCATTCACTGCAGAGCATCCATTGCTGAGACACTGATGCAATGCTACATTTCTACAAATCTGATGAAGAAACAAACTCATCCTAATCTTGGATTGCCACAGGGTGAGCACACTTTCAGCAGATTTTCATGTTTGGGTATTCCTTTAAGAGTTCATCCACTCAATGGATTCAGTGCATTCCTGCAGATACCTGTTCTGTATTCATTTCCGTCTTGACCTCCACTGTGATGTCCATGTTCATCATGGTGGGTCTGACAGCGACGGTGGGTTTGATATACGGAGAGGGAGACGTTACCCCACCCTCGTCTTCCCCGATCAGACTCGTTCGGACACAAGCTCCTCCCGCCGTGCCGGTCTGTCCGTGAGCGCTGCGCGGATGGAAGCAGTTCTTACAGGAGCCTGGTTTCCACACGTGCTCTGCAAACTCTCCACACGCAGACATTTTAACACAGACCTCGAGCTCCGGTCTGATCGACTCTACTGCCGGCCGGAACAAGCTGAGAACAGACGACGGTGTTTGGTCACATAGTGTGTGGCACAGGAGACCAGCAGCCTGCAAACCTGAGAAAACACAAGATACATTTTAGATGATTTTGAGTTATGCTGGTGTATATGTTTGATATGAAAAACCACATGCATTTGGAGAATTAGTCATATGTTAATGTCATCAAACACACAGAAACTCAAAGGTCTTCACAACAAAACACCAACATATAAGTTTGGATTAACTGGGAGAAATATTGACAGAAATATTAGAAGTGAAATTAACTTCTCAAACTACTACTACTACTAATTATTAAGGTTGCAAAAAGGCGGAAAATTTCCTGAAAAATGTGGAAACTTTCCAGGATTTTTTTTGGAAAATTTCCAGGATTTTTGGGAAACATTCCAGGATTTTTTTGGAAACTTATCAGGATTTTTTTTGGAAACTTTCTGGGATTTTTTGGAAACTTTTGGAAAACATAGGGAATTTTCAGAAACTTTCGGAAAGTTTCCAGAAATGTTCCGCCTCTTTGCAACCCTACTAATTATTATTAATTAATTAAAACATTATTTTAAGGAATATCACCCAATCAAGAGCCTTTATTTAATTAAAACAGTACAGTTTTTTGCAATGTTTTGTTGTAAATAACTGGTGTATTTTTTTATATGATTACATTTACAAAGATTGATTATACTGTTATAGTCATATGAATGAACTTGATTACCACAGTTTTTAATTATCATTTTTTTATTCAGTCATAAACCAAAGAATCTTGAAAAAGATTTTTCCAAAGAAAAATTAAGTATTTCATAGCACCCTAATATTGTCAAAATTTTAAATAATCATTAAATGGTTTTATGAAATCAATTGATTAGACATTTTTGATAGATGAAACATACAGTCCAGAATAGGGCTGGACGATATGGCCAAAATTTATATCACGATATCTTTCTTAATTTCGGTCGATACGATATAATTCCGATATCGATATGAACACTATTTAAAAAAGCCTTGTAAAAACTGCCAAGAACGCCCACAACAGATGTCTGTGCATACAAACTTATGAAAAATGAATTTGCCAAGTCTATGACACCTCATATAAAACCATATAATACTTTAGAGAAAAAAAACAGCACAAATAAATTAATGTTCACCTTTTATTTGTATTTAGCCTTCATACAAACAAGAAATGTGAAATCACTGTCAAATAAACATCTCAGACTCACCTTATTAATTATTAATATCTTCCAACATACCAGTCAAAAGTTTTTGAACAGTAAGATTTTTATTGTTTTTAAAGAATTCTCTTCTGCTCACCAAGCCTGCATTTATTTGATCCAAAATACAGCAAAAACAGTAACATTTTAGAAAACAGTTATTTTAAATAGTAAAAATATTTCAACATTTTACTGTTTTTGATGTACTTTAAATGCAGCCTTGGTGAGCAGAAGAGAATTCTTAAAAAAAAAAAAAAATTAAAAATCTTACGGTTCAAAAACTTTTGACTGGTAATGTAGGACGGCTGATTATTGTTATAGATTGAAACAAATGTGCTTCAGCCAGGATAAAGAATATGAAAAGTGCTCTGAGTTGGCTGCAGAAAAAAAAGAGCAACAACAAAAACATGCTGCTAGAGACGGACTTATTTAAAATGCAAACTGATTGTCTGCCAGCAGGAGGCACTTTGAGAGCGGTAGAACTTGCGGTTTCTCCGGTAACGGCTGCAATCAAAGCAGCTCCGCTCATGAACGCTACTTTATTAGATCAAATGAAAATGCCATCGAAACTTTTCTGAAGACAGTCGGTTCCCTTCAGAGATACATTCATATAAAACACCCGCGCCACGTTATGATTTTGAAACGTGCAGTGCTCATGTTTATTCAACGAAGTCAAACGCCACAAATAAATCAATGCATGGGAAACACTGGTAATGTATATCGAAATATCGGAAATGTGTTTAAAAATCATATCACCGTTATTGAAAATAATTATATCGCGATACATATTGATATTGAATTATCATTTTGTTTAAAAATCATATCACCGTTATTGAAAATAATTATATCGCGATACATATTGATATTGAATTATTGTCCAGCCCTAGTCCAGAATAATGAAAATGTAAAACACTGAATTTTTGGGGGGAAAAAATAAAAAAAAGATTTCATAGTGGCTCCAGAAATATCAACATGCTGCCACTGAAAAACTCAAAGTTCTTCTTTAAAGCTTTGCATAAACCTTTGTACATTTCAAGTGTTTCTGACAGGGAAATGCACTTGTGTAAGAGACTTTGGCCTAAATAATCAGATGAAAGTACTTCATGCTTACTAGTGAAAAACAAAAGGTGCAAATCCGCTCCTCCAGTTCCTGGTCCCTCCCTTCATACAGAGCTTTCCTTTGGACAGACTTACTCACCCACTTCATGAAACCCAACCGCAGCCGGAATCAGGACATTAACAAACTCATTCTGTTCAAACACATGGACGAACGACCTTCTAGAAGCCGTCTGAACTCACAGAAATGAACTGATCTTAATGCGAAACACTCCAAATCTGAGGTTCAAATCAGAGACGCTGAAACATCGCAAGATGAATAAAGCGAATTAAATAATTTAAAATGTAAATGGTTAGGATCATGAGAAATATATAGTGAATATAAGCCATATTTATATTCCTTCATTTGGACTGTACCACTAAACAAATGTGTTATTGTCATTAAATGCATGCATTTTAATTTGCTGCATATTTTCAACTATTTTAAACAAGTTGCATGGACCAAATCTCGATCTTTCCAAATCAATTCCTTAAAAACATCAACCAGTAGCCGGAAAGATCCAGAAATAGTCCATGCAACTTGTTTAAAGTTGAAAAAATTCAGCAAATTATCATGCAAATATTTAATGACCGTAACACATTTGTTTAGTGCTTTTCACAGGACGGCACCAGATGGAACTCTTTCAGTTCATTAATTACCTTTCCTGCGCACATGTGACTCATTTCTAGACTCTTAATTAAGAAATACGCTCTTTAAAAAAAAGGAGCAGCAGCAGGTGCTGGAGTCTGAGAGTTTCTAAACCACATTTGCAAATGTGTCGTTGCACAATGACTCAGTTTGATACAGGAATCTATTCGCAGCAGCAGTTGCTGTTATATTTAAAGGCACGGATGGTTAAAACAGGAAATAACATGACCTTTTTCAAATAACCTGAGCAGCTGATACACTACTAGTTACATTACTTTTCTTTCACACCCCACAGAAGTTGTAATTGCATATATTCGCCATAAAAGTTTTCTAAAATGTTATTAACAATATATTTCCGCCTCATCATTTGACCAAAATGCACATTGGATTGCAGTCAGAAGTCAGAGGTGATTAATAGTAACATTTAAATACAAGTGTTGCATTAATCTCATTAAATACCACGTGTAGCTTGAAGCTAATTGTAGCTCTAATGTCTCTGTCACCCATATACGGTTATATTCCAGGATGCATTTTATCAAAAGAAATCATATAAGTTCGTCAGAAAAGGTTTAGTTCTCTAAAAAGATTTTATACAAACAAAACGGGATCAGAGGGATGTTTGTGGGCAAGCCGTGTAACGCCAGAGTAATGTAAGTGTTCAGATCATCTTTTCTCCTGACAAAATCAATGCAACAGCAATATTTCCATCCGCTAAATATAAGGATTTCCATATTCCAAGCTTGCCTGCTGCTCTGCTGACTTCATGTGAAATTATAAAAATAAATCTAGGAATTATTGGATTTCAAATCAGTAGAGGTTGAGGCATTGAAAGTAACTAAGTAACGAGCTGTTTTATTGATGGTAACTGTAATATTATTACTGAAATCTTATTAGTAATTAGCTACACTACTAGTTATTGTGAAAAAGTAATATGTGAGCCTGCAGCACAAAAGCGGTCATATTTGTAGCAATAGCCAACAATACATTGTATGGGTCAAAATTATACATTTTTCTTTTATGCCAAAAATCATTAGGATATTAAGTAAAGATCATGTTCCATGAAGATATTTAGTAAATTTCCTACTGTAAATATATCAAAACTTAATTTTTGATTAGTAATATGCATTGCTAAGAACTTCATTTGAACATCTTTAAAGATGATTTTTTTCAATATTTAGATTTTTTTGCACCCTCAGATTCCAGATCTTCAAATATTGTCCTAACAAACCATACATCAATGGAAAGCTTATTTATCCAGGTTTCAAAACTCTCAATTTCTAAAAATGGACCCTTATGACTATTTGTGCTCACATATTATTACTAGTAATTGCCTAACACTGGTCTCAGGAAATGATTCATTTTACTTTGGCAAAAACGGAGAATGTGGCCATAAAGATGGTTTTCTTTCCATTTCTGACAGCACAGCCTCTCTTTCTGTGGCTCAGATATCTGAAAGGTCTTCACCCGCTAGAGAGTGAAAACAAACCTGTGAGATTTCGCACCGTCGCTGGTGTCTGGCTGGCGAGAAGATGCGCTAGACTCACGGTGGTGCGAGTCTCCTCTTCACATTCCTCACATTCCTCCCGACGAGAACGCTTTCTGAAGCCTGACATGGAAAGAACAGAAGAGCCTCTAATTTTGGTGGCCTGGGAAAGTGGAGTGGAGATGGACGGGGTCAACAATCTACTGACCCTCGATCAATGGCTGATGAATCAGTGGCTCTGTTTTAGTCTGTTTGCTAGCATGTTGAAGACGATTTGGGTTTTAAAGACATAGAACCATTTTGGTTCCCCAAAGAACCTTTTTGCTTTACAAAAAACCCAAAATGCATTGGAAACGTTCCATGGATGTTAAAGTAGCATGCCAAAGATGACGTGCATTTAAAGACTGTAAACCATCAAACTTTTTGCACTTAAAAACAAAGATAGTTTATTGGCATTTGATGCTTGCATGAAGAACCTTTAACACCCATGAAACTTTTCCAATGCACTTTGGTTCTTAAGAGTGCATAAACCTCTTCAGATTATTGAAATGTTCTTAACACTAAGAAAAACAATTATTTTGGGAAAGACAATGAAAAATTAAAGAGTCTAATGATTCTTAAACTCCAAGTAAACTATAGGGCCAAATTAAAACAATCTCAGACGGTGCTTCATTTTATATTTGCTGAAAATTCATTGTGAATATATCACGCATATTCAATATATCACCCATATCACCCCCACCTTAGTTTGTTTTACAGTCTTTAAATGCAAATACTTTAAAATCCAATGAAAATTTCCATTGCACAAAAACGTCACACTTAAAAAAATGGTTATTTTAGGAAAGATCACATGTGTATTTTTATTCTCATCTTATTTTTTATTATCTGTGTGTTGTTGTCTCTGTGCACTGGAAGCTTGTGACACTAAAACAAATTCCTTGTGTGCGCAAACATACTTGGTAATAATGCTCTTTCTGACTTCTGATGATGAAAAATTAAGGATACTGAAGTCTAATGACTTCTTAAACTTCATGGCCAACTAAAAAGCCAATTAAAATCATATAAAATCAGTGCTTCATTTTATATTTGCTGGAAAATCATTGTGAATATATCATGCATATTCCATATTTCACCAAAAAAACATATTCACAGACCTTCATTTGGATTGAACACTAGTTTATGTTTATTTTAACATGCACTCTTTATTGGTAACTATGGTTCCGAAAAGAACCTTTGACACCCATAAAGCCTTTCCATTCCACAAAAAGATATTTAAAGTGGGGGGAAAAAAAATCTATAGATTTTTAAAATGTTCTTCACATAAAAAATGGTTCTTTTAAGAACTGATCACTGAAAGGTGAACCAAAATGGTTCTCCTATGGCATCACTATGAAAACTGTTATGTTTAAGAGTGAAACGTTTCCAATGCACATTGGTTCTTCAAAATGCAAAATGGTTCTTCTATGGCTTCCTTTCGTGCAGATCCTGATAGGAACCTCATGAGGGAAACTGTAATCTTCAGGAAGCTTCATGATGTTTATGAGCACGTGAGGACAGATAAATAATGGCCCGCAGGTTGAAGTGTCGCCGGCCGTTCTGTGTTTGCTCAGCCGTTAGACTCGCTGGCAACAAGTTTGACAAGTCAAAACCCAAGGCACAACAGGAGAAGCAGAAGCTCTTTGTTCCTGCAGCAGCTGAAAACACTTCAGCACTTGTGAACAATGAATGTTTTTGCCTTCAGATGTTGCTCAGGGGGAAGGGTGGCGCTCCTCCAGTGCTTCTGCTGAGAGCTTTAAGTTTAAACCCTCCAGTGTCACAAACACCAAATCTTTACCCGCAACCTATGTGCCTTTACTGTGCAATCAGACTTAAACATGGTCAAATGTGTTTAAATACACTCTTACTGCCAATCAAACCAGCCAAAATATGCAATAAACCAACATGCAACATGCATTCCACAAATTCCATATGAATCCACCAATTAGACATTTCACTTCCTTAAAGAAACCATGTGAACCATTTAAAGTTGTCCAAATGAAGTTCTTAGCAATGCATATTACTAATCAAAAATTAAGTTTTGATATATTTACGGTAGGAAATTCACTAAATATCTTCATGGAACATGATCTTAATATCCTAATGATTTTTGGCATAAAAGAAAAATGTATAATTGTGACCCATACAATGTATTGTTGGCTATTGCTACAA